TGAATGACTGGAGGTTTGCACATGAAACAAAAGGTGCGTTATGAGCATCAAATTGGTCAAGGAGGAGGAAGATCCACTGCTTAGAAAATATGGTGAATTTTTAACCAGGTGACAGAGTGACAATGGAACTATTCAACTCGTATTTTGCTTCAGTCTTCTTCCAGATGGGCAGTGTTGTTCAGTATAGGACATGGTATTTTAAAAATTGCAGCTCAGGGTAGGTAAGGAAATGGTTAAGATAGCACCTAGGTATATTGAATGAATCCAGGTGTTCAGATGCTGATAAATTACATCCCTGACTGTTAAAGGAGCATGCACACATTCTATCAGAGATTGCTTTGTGTAAACTTTTAAAACTTCTGAAGAACAAATGAGGTGTCCAAAGGTTCGAGATATGGAAATCTTGCCCCTGTCTTCAAAAAAGAGAAGCAAGTGGATCCAGGAAACTAGAACAGTCTGACATCAATACCAAGCAACACTAAGGAAGAAATTGTTAAAGGGCTTGTCTGTGAGCATCTACAGAATAATGCATTGACTGCCAGGAGCTGGTATGGATTTTTTTTTTCTTGAAAAAAGGTTGTGCCAAATCAGTTTGATTTGCTTTGGTAGATGGTTGTTGTATGTTTTTCGGGCTGTTCTGCCAAACAACCCCCCCCCAAAAAAAAACCTACAACAACCATCGGATCCTAACCATGAAAGTCTTCAAAAATACATTGCTTTGGTAGAGTTAGTACAGTGGGGTCTTGACTTAAGAACGGCTTGAGTTAAGATCATTTTGACTTAAGAACCGCTCTCCTAGGAAAATATTGACTTGACTTAAGTACTTAGATTTGAGTTAAGAACTAAAAAAAACATGTGGGAGGCAGGGAAAGTGCAAAATTTGAACTTTCAGTAAGAGAAGCAAGTGGATCCAGGAAACTAGAACAGTCTGACATCAATACCAAGCAACACTAAGGAAGAAATTGTTAAAGGGCTTGTCTGTGAGCATCTACAGAATAATGCATTGACTGCCAGGAGCTGGTATGGATTTTTTTTCTTGAAAAAAGTTGTGCCAGATCAGTTTTATTTGCTTTGGTAGATGGTTGTTGTAGGTTTTTCGGGCTGTTCTGCCAAACAACCCCCCCCCAAAAAACCTACAACAACCATTGGATCCTAACCATGAAAGTCTTCGAAAATACATTGCTTTGGTAGAGTTAGTAATGTGAATACTGTACATATGATATAGTTTGCTTTTAGCAAGACATTTAACAAGTTTCTCATAACATCCTCATTGGTGAGAGTATAAAACATGCACTGTGAGATACTGTAATTATATGGATCTATAGCCAATTGAGCAACCATACTCAACCAATGCTTTTTAATGGCTCAGCATTTTCTTGTGGGGAAGTCTTTGCCTGGTGTGCCACAGGGCTATCTTTAGGCCTTGCACTGTTTGAATTTTCTATAAATCATCTAGATTAGGACATAGGAGGTTTACTCATTGAGGGATGGCCAGCACCACCACCATCATAATCATCTTTGAACTACAAAGCTGGAAAGGACTCTGTGGATTGTCAAGTCCAGCCCCTATCAATGAGGCACAGTGGGGAATAAATGATAAGATCAAGGATCAAAGGTAATCAGTTTGGAAGACTATGCCAAAGTCATCAAGAGGAGATTGAAGTTAAGTCTTGCATTTAGGTGTCATAGTGAATCGAAAGCTGAATTGAGGCCGCTAGAAAAGGCAAACATAATTTTGGGCTGCATGAACAATAGCAGGTTTCTAAGTCATAGGAAATAATAGATCTATTATGTTCAAAATTAGTCTAGCTATGTATTGTGTCCAGTTCTGAGCAACACATTACATAAAGTAGGTAAGTTAGAATCTGTTTCCAGCAGTGCAAGCAGGATGATGGATCTGGAGACCAAGGCTGGAAAGGCTGAAGCAGCTGGGTATATGTCACCTGAAGCAAGGGAGACATAGCTGCAGCCCTTAATATTGGACAGAGCTTCCATACAGAAGATGGAACTGATATGTTTTCTGTTGTTCTAAATAATAACACTACTACCGAAGCAAAGAATGAAAGTTGCAGGGAAGCATATTTCGGTGAACTTCAGGAGAAGCTTCCTAACAGTGAGAGCTGCTTAGTAACAGAACAGTCTACCTTGGGTAGGTGTTCCTTCTCTCTTACTGCAATTATGTAAGTGGAGGCTTGTTGACTGTCTGGAACTGCATGCTGTGCTGCTTACTCTCTGTTTAGCAGGAGGTGGGATTAGATTATTGTGAAGGTCCCATGCAACTCTGTGATTCTGTAAGAGTTTAACAGCATTCTAAGGATCTAAAGCTGTCAGTTTTCACAATGAAGTATGTTCATTAAGCCTTCAGGGTTTTAGTTCAGCGATGTTTATTGCCAGTGCCTTAGCATTTTATGCTATTACCATTTCAAAATAAAAGATAATTTGGTGACACATCTACCAGCTGTGGGTTAGTCATCATTTATGTTAATAAAAAGATGCTACATTCCTATTAGTGAAATATGCAAACCAGCTGTGCCCTTCTGCCTGAAGAAGAATTCTGCTTTCTCTGGGGAACATGTTCCCCAATTTTGATCTAATCCTGAATGCCCCAATCCAGCAAGGGAGATCCACGTGGTGAAGAAATGCAGGTCTGGAGGTGCATTAATTCTACACTACAAAATTTACACTGCTTATCCGGTCCCTTCAACTTTTTTGTGTGATGCATCTTTCATTGTGGACAGGGAGTGCATTTCGTGAGTTTGATGTGAAACTTGTAAATGCTTTGTGAATGGAGCTCTATGTCTTGTGAACTGTCCAGTAACCAGACATTAGGACAGAGCCTTGAAACTTGCAGCAGAACACTTTCAGCATGAAACAAATGTTTCCCTGAAGTCTCCCAGGTGCTTCTCCTTTTTTCATGGGCTTAAAGTGTCTTTACAATGCTTATTGGCTGCTGCTGTGGTTCCATTGATATTTACAAACCAATCTGCTTCAGCCCCTAGAAGCCAGGGTGTTCCCCTATTGCTAGTCACAGATGCTGTCACTGAGCAAAAGACGAGTGTTCAGAGTGAGGGCAGTACTTCCTTATTTACTTGCTTTTAATACTTAACAGTTTGATCATTTATTAAAATAGTGCTGAAATTGCAGCTTGAGCTGATTGCCCCCATAGAGATGCTGTAGAGGTAGATCTCCAAGGAGGACCAGTTGAAGGTGGATTGGGGTTTACACCCCCCCCCTTGAGTCTCTCAATGAGCCTATAGAGCTACTGATTCAGAAGCTACATGTGGAGGACTTCAGATCTTGTGCTAAACCAGCAAGAGAGCAGTGCTGATTATTAGTCCAATCCTACTGCAGGTTTTTTTTGGTTCTGTTTTGTTTTTGTTGGCGCATTGGCTCATTCTAAGACCTAGTATAGCCTTGTGATTAAGAGAGTGACCTGGCATCCATTAACTCTCCTGATAATAACTCTCTCATTTGGTACCTTTAGGCAAGCCTCTATTTTTTTATTTATATAATTACATTTTATACCATCCTTCCTGATATAGGAAACTATATAATGTCCTCTTTTGCCTTTCTTTTAATCTCACAACAACTCTTATGGAATAGAATATGCTGTGAAACAGTGACTGGCCCAAGACCACCCACTGAACAGCATGGCTGGGTGGAGATATGAATAGTCCTCTCCTTGGTCTTCACCTAAGTATTAATCAGTAAACCAGACTGTTCTCTTAGCCACAGCTCACTTTTTCCTAAACAAGGACAATAATACACACCTATCCTACAAAGTTGACCTGTCATTCAGAAAATTCTGTGTAAGTGCAAACCATCATTGAGGAATCTGACTATCCTTTGACCTTTACAGACTGTGACCAACAAATCCATCAAGCCAGAACATCTGACAAGTCCTAATTAGCTAAAAGCATTTATGTGAGATGTAGTAACATTTCAGTGGGAGATAGCAGACATATGCAAGAATAAGCACGTTAATTCCCTCTCCCCATGTTCAAAGTTGTTGTTGTTTTAAAAATTTGCAGAGCATTACATTTTTAAACATTTTATAACCACTTGGACTTTTATTCAAAGACACGGATCTTCACATGAAGAAACACGTAAAACCCATGCACACCATTCCTGCGAAATGAATCTGCATGTATACTGAAAGCAGTGTAAGCAAGGGTTGAGGCACTCTCCAGCAAGCACAGTGGGCTGTGTACAATTTGTCTAGTGCATGTCTCCTGTTGTGTGCCAACAGCAACAGTGTTTGCTGGACTGGGGCCTTAGAAGACCAATTTAGGGCAATCTTCTCTTTGAAGGTTTTGCTTCACAAAGTGCACATTCTAATCTTTTTTCTTTCTAATATCAAACAAATACCCAAGAGTTTCTCCTTTCTGATAATTTTTTTGCTCCCAAAAGTGTCTGACAACTGCTTTCACATGAACATCCCTGCCTCGGTCAGAGGAAACAGGATGCAGCATTGACAGAAAAGCAGGTCAGGTGGCAAAGCAGTACATGGGTTCCGGCTCACTTCCTGGCGTGAGCCTAAAAAAACGGTAGCAGAAGATCAAATCAATGTCACCACTCGACAGAGAAAGCTGGATGGTGGAGTGAACAGAGACTGAGCAAGAGTGGTGGGAGAACATAGACAAGACAAGATGGCAACTGCAGGGGAAACAGTTCCACCGTGAGAACCTAGATTTTCAGAAGGAGGACACGTGCAGCTGGAAATGCAAGCAGATGACAGGATTTAAATCAAAGGAACAAAGGAAATTACAAATGAGAATTGGGTAGCAGCAGCAGCAACAGCCAGCTGATTTGGGGGTTTAGAAAGAAAGCAAAAAGAATAAATTACAACAAATCAAAAAAAAAAAACAAACAAACTGAATAACGGAATCAAGTTTGGTAATGTGGTTTTTAATGTGTCACAAGTTTTCACAAGGACAAAGTTATAGAAGGAAAACCCCACAGCAGTTTTCTAGCTCATGCAGAACCATCAATTGTCATACCTTGGCCCATTCTATTCATCCTTGTCGCACTTTAGAAAGAGAAGTAAGCTATGTAAGTTTTACAAGGCTTTTAAACTGTCATCACGCGTCCTGTTGAGCACTTTAACTGGCATATCCTTGGTGTGTGTTAGAAAAGGCCTGATGGCAAACATCAGGACCTTCTTTTGCAAAAGTGTGTAAATTTAGCTTTATGATTCAAATACTGGGATGGGAGGGTGGAGGGGGAAAGAGGGCCATAGTACTGCTTTGGAGTCGGGGCTGAGGGTGGCTGGCCTGATGCAGGAGGGCAGAATTAGTCTAAACTGTTTTCCAGTTATTTTAACATAACAGTCACCCTTCAATATATATATACAACTGGGAATTCCCAGTCACCTTTTTGAGGAACAAGAAGGTGCTTTGTGCATTGCCTACTTGTACCAAACCAGAGGTTGTCAGTAAAAGTGCTTGGCTTAATTGTCAATTCACACAGCAAGCTTCTATAATAACCATCATGCTTTTTGGACGGGGAGAGAGGGGACTATTTGTCTACGCAACTCCCCACCAAGCCCAGTATACTTTCTATAACATAGAGCACATGCCAGGCAATCAGCTAGCTATTCATATAAAGGGAAGGGATAGGGAAGGAGAAAGGGGAGAGCAAGGGAATGGTGAGATTAAAAGGAGCTGCCTTTCCACAAAGTGTAAAAGGACTGTGCAGGATTCCAGGGTGTGGTCCTGCTAGTTTGGAAACAACCTCTTCCATGGCCATTCCATTCCTATGATCTATCTTTTATGTTCTGCAGTACTGGTAGCTTAGCCAGCATCCCACTAAACTATATTATGAAGCACATTTGTTTGTAGCTAATTTATTAAAAGGATTTACTAACATATACATCAGCTTCAGAGCTGTATATGAGTCGCTGACAGGTGCCGAGGGTTGCAAGATGTGAATTCAGAGATCCTTCTGTCTTTATGCTCAGTGCAGTGATTCCCAAACTGTTTTGTGGGTCTGATACCTGCCTTGGGAAATGAAGTTTTGGGGTTTGTTTCCTTTGCCACTCTATCCCTGTTGCAGCAGGGACACTGTCCCTGGGATGGTTTCTTTCTGCTAAGAACTGCTCAGTGATATCTTCCCAAGGGATGAGGGTAGAGAAGTGTCACCATAATTTCATGATGCAGCCACGCACTACAGCTGGCAAGGGTGGAGTTATCCATTACAAGGCACCTCCAGTGCCTTTGGGGAGCATGGTCTCATCTCTTTGCCAGGATACCAAGAACCCTTGTGAATATATGAGGTGTACAGTTATAAGGCTGCCTGAGTTACTTGTCTGGCTGTTGAGCCAGAGGCTGAGAGTTCGTTTCCCCACTGTGTCTTCTAGGAGAAGAGCCAGCCTCTGAGGCCGTGGGCAGGCAATCCAAAGTTGCCCTCAGAAGAAGGGAATAGTAAACCATTTCTGAGTACTCTCTACCTAGAAAACCCTGTAGAGGGTCACCATAAATCAGAACTGACCTGACGGCATGTGGTTATTATTATTGCTATAGTTATAAAAATATTTGTTGTTATGGAAGCTGATGGGGAGAAATGGGGGGTAAGGGAGTGAAACCTATCTTAAATAATGTTAATAATGCAACAGGTAGTAACGGTTTAGGAAACACGAAGCCAGAGGTATCTGGCAACCCCATCTGAGAAGTTAGTGATCTACGCTAGTGTCAGTAGCCTCTTCTGTGGGTTCTTTAAACCTTCTCAAATCAGTGACTACTTCTGTTCAAATTTAACATATGTTATTGAAAGAACTGAACTGCCATGTACCTTTCCTAAACTCGCCAGCTAAAGCATTCCCATAGATTTCCCTGAACACATATATGCAAGTTCTCCTGAAGGTATGAGGAGCACAATATTAAGCTATCAGATTGGGAAGAAAGAAGATGGATGCCTAAACAAGGAAAACTGCTTGCTCTTTTCTGAATATTAGGAGTGTGATCCTTTGTCATGTGAGGAAGGATTCTACCCCACTCAGTACATAATTAGTTCATCATTTAATAGAATAGAATAGTCTCAAGAAGGTAGATTCTAATGAGTTGCATTCAATATTTATGATACATGTAGCTTTTCATCCCAAATGTCAAAAGTGAGAAAAAATATAGTTATCCACGTAGCAGTATAGGCTTAATTTAATATGTAATTAAAAACTTTAAAAACAGCTAAGTCATTAGAGTTGAAGTACTAGATGCCTGGCTATTTTAAGAACTTTGTATCAAAGTGAAGAAGGCACTTACCCTACCAGGGAGGGTGTGTTTTTGTTTTTTTAAAAAGTCCTGTGTGCAGGAGAGGCACTGATATTGCTTTGGTATAAAAGCAGGTGGAGTAAAAACTATACAAAATGGTGCAAGGCACACATTGTTTTCTGCCTGAGAGACCCTCCCTGCCCATTCCCATAGTATATTTCCCTGAATGCTTAGAAAACTAACCAATTGGTAGGATCCCTAATTTCCTATGTGTGAATTTGCTTTTTAGGTAACTATCTTTCTGTGACACCATCCTCACATGAAGTAATTTTCTTTCTGAAACTAACATTGCAAGTCAATGTTCACACTACACATGCTTTAAACTGATGCACAGAGCAGTGATCGTGGGGAATTATTCACATCTGCTCTTAATGCTTTTCCAACTGCTCTGTGTTGTAAATAACATTTGGTCTGTCTGCTTTGTTGCTGTTGTGCTTAAGGGTTTTATGGTATTAAAATAAAAATGACATTCACATGCACACTGTTATACATATGCAAAATATGCGTATAAAAATGAGAACTCCATGGGGGCGGCTGGGGAGAACAGGGAAAGCTGTTACTGGACACACCAACTGGGAGGGTATGGGTGGTGGATACAGCTTCACACACGGTGGGAGTGGGTACACGTATCAAAGTCTATCTTCCTGCACATACTTCTGCTTTTCTCGGGAGTCCCTGGTCTTGGTGCGGTTCTGTCGGTTTGCCGTGGCTGGGATAGAATGAACCGATGAGCTTTTCTTGCTAGACGTATAAGAGGAATGGGAAGAATGGGAGAGACTAGCCCGGGACTGCCCCGCATTGTGGTCATACTGCATCAAACAGAAGATCCAGTCTGTCGGCACAAGCTCAAACTCATAAGGTGGATTGGCTATAACAAATCTGAAAAGGAAAAAAGAAAAAGTTTTACTGCCCTTTCATCAGATTTCCACATCCCAAGCTTCATCCTTGTCAGCACTGTCAGCTCAAATCATTGAACGTGCAGGGGCCAGAATGAACTAATCTAAACTCCAGGCCCCTCCCTGTTCAAGGTTACAGGGGCTACTTTTCCATAACTGCACTTCTCAGCACTCCTGTAACACCTCAGCGTGGAGTGGGTGACACCACTCATGCTCTTAAAATCCACCACAGATTTTTTTAAAAAAATGAAGACGTTTAATGGGAAGACCACTAGGAGGCAAACATCTCATACAGCAGACAGACATCATAAAAAGTTTAACGGGAAGTTAAAAACCAAATACAAGATAGATTGACTTCCTAAAGGAAGCCACAGGCTTTAATGTGTAAGAGCTGAGCAGGGCTGTCAAGGACGGGACATTTTAAAGATCACTCCTTCATAGGGGTGCCATAAGCCAGAGGCAACCTGATGGCACATAACAACAGCAGCAGCGGGAAAGCATCTCAATTAAGCCAGCATCTTTTAGTACCTTCACTTATAGCCTTTTAACAGGGATGGGGACTTGCGACTTGAGACTCACCGTTGAGTCTCACTTAAGTCACACTAGCAACTCGATTTGGGGTTTTTCCACAATGACTCACATTCGACTTGCAACTTGGCACAATTTTTCCAAGTCACTTGTCAAATCCCCCTGCCGCACATACACTGCAGCTACCTGCTCCTGTTGCCACCACAAGTAGCTGTCCTCAGAAGCAAGCAGCAGGCTTGATTTCCCTTCCAAGAAGCTGCAGGCCTTGCTCCTGGAAAAGAAACTGAGCCTACTGCTTGCTTCGGAGGACAAGGGTGTGCAGTGGCAGGTGCAGGTAGGCAGTGGGGGGGGTGGCAGGCTGGGTCAGGGTGGCAGCAGAAGCAGGTAGAGAGTGGAGGGGGACAGAGGCCAGGCCCATTGCTTCTTAGTATGCACAAAGGCAAGGGCCTGCATGCACATGTCCCCTCCTGGCTTCCAGCCAAGACTTGGGACGCGGACTCGAGGCCTGGGATTTGGGACTTGTTATCAAAGACTCGGGACTTGACTTGAGTGTTGCTACCAAAGACTTGGACTTGGGTCCAGACACTTACCAACATCCCTGATTAAAAAGACATGAAGGGGAGTAACTGCAGCTCTGTAGCAGCGTCTGTGCTTTGTCTGCAGTAGATCCTAGCATCAACCCCTAAAATCTTCGGGTAGGTCTGGAAAAATATATTGTCTGAACCCTGGAAAGCTGTCGGATGCAGTAGACCAAGGGTCTGGCTCAATATAACGCAGCTAGTTATATTTTTGAATGGTCGTAAAAGCAAACAATGGCTGAATATCATGCCAGTCCGTTTACTGCCACAACAAGCATTTGGCAGTTTGGCGCCCAGCCCCCTCTGGTGGGCACCCCATCACAAGCAGAGCCCAGAGGAAGAAGAGCAGGGAAGCTGGGAATGCTGCTATTGAAGGGGCACCCACCAGAGGGGGTGGGGTGCCGAACCACCAAACACGTTACCATGGTAAACAAACCAGGACAAACTGTCGAATCGGTTGTTTGTGCCCCGCTCTACTCGGAAGTCAGGAAATATGGGTTCCAACGCTGAGCAATTTTGCTGCTACTAAAATGCTTTTGCTCAGTGAAGATCACAGACTTTTATTTGTATTCTTTTGCTCTGGACTGCATCTTAAATCTTCCTCTCTCTCTCTCTCTCTCTCTCTCTCTCTCTGTCTTACCATCAGTCCTCCCTGCTCCTTAATTTCCTTCCTTACCCAATTTCTCCTTCTCTCTACTCTAGGAATTTTCAACTTTTTCCTTATTTTTTAATCTGAAAACTGCAGAGAGAAAAGTCTTGGCCTTGCTCTGTAAGAAGAAATATATTAAAAGCAAAAGGGAATTGGATCTTACTTCTCTTTGTGGCTATTCACATTTTGTATTTGTTTCATTTACTTATACTATTTATACGCCATTTTCCTACCCAACAACACACACAAAGGAGTTACAGAATAAGTTAAAATGATACAAAGCTGCATTCATACACTAAAAGCATAAGATAAAACTACGCTAGGTAAATAACATCAACATAAAATAGCTCATACCTCTTTTACGATGAAATCAAAGCAGCTTTTTCCTGCTTCTAGAAAAGGATAAATGGTGGGGGAGTGAACATCATTTCTAGTAAGGGAATACCAGGGTCTTGTCACCATCATTGGAAAGGCCAGTTTCTGGTCACCACTGACAGTAGCAGAACTCAGAGCCTTTCCCAAAGGTCTCACCAGCATATGAACAGGTTCATTGCAAAGAAGGCAACTGATTATTCAGATACCTGCCATGTTTGCACTTTTGTTGGGAACTGGTGGTTGTTATTTTTGGTTTGAGGTTCAGTGTTGGGAGAAGGGTGTCGGGAAGGGAAAGGTATGATTCTGTGCACTACTAGAGCTTGTCCACAGATTCCTCACTCCTCAGAAGGTTGATGGAGTACTTTTGTTCCCCGAGTCGTGCTGTGGTCCTCTATGCACTTACTCAGAAGTACATCCATTGAACTCTGTGGAAGATTCATGTGCAGAACTGGGCTGCAGGTGTACAAAATCTTCTACATTTCCAATTTAAGGCAAAGAGCCCAAGGAGTGGGATTAGCAGTTCATAGCACCATGCCTTTGCTAACAAACATCTCCTTTTTCTTCACCATCGTCCCAAGAAAGAATGATTAGAAAATTGAACATTTGCATCTACATGGGGAAAACCTTTTGTTTCTTGTGACTAGAGTTTCTAATTATTTCTTGCATGGGCAAGAACGCCTCTGCTGCCAAGAGAGGGGCAGACACAGACACAGCAGTCTGTGGGCAGACTGTCAGGGTGATTAAAACATACTTAAAATAATGACCAGCCAATAGACAAAAGTTCTGCACATACCTCTTGGTACATTGGCTAGGCGGGCTTTGATGGAAATCTCTCAATCGATATATTCCGAAGCAAAGCATATTGTATGTTTTCAGAGCTTTACAAAACAGATCTCCGTAACAACCGCCATCCTGGGAGACAAAGGGGAGAAAAAAACCAAACAAATAAAATTTAGAGGTGTTCCCCCCCACCTCAATTACCATAATGACATTGAAGGGGAGGGAGGTATTTTAAGTCAGTAGTTCTATGCCAAGGGGACCAGGTATGAGGCAATCTGTTGTTTACTTGTCACAAGTGAGAAACAATTAGTCAAGAGGATGTCTAATTTAAATGTTTAATCTTGAAACCAGCTAGTAAATGCGTGCATGGGAATGTGTGCAATCCCAGTGATTGTATTCCAGAAAAACAACCTGAAGTGGGAACAGTGAATGACTCTTATTTTAATTGAACATGCAAGCTTTGGGGCTAGAGAACAGCTATTCCACAAATTAAGAGCAATGTAGTCTGAACTACTGGCTGATTAAGAAGGTGTGACTTTTTCTTTTGTGCACCAGTCTTGGAAATTACTGTGTCATATGGCTTCGTTTATTTAACTATGTTGTCAATTTTCACCAAGATAGCTCAGATTTCACTGGGGAATAACACTTAGCAGGCAAGAATCTCCCCATTTTGTCCCTGGGAAAAAAAAACAGAAATTAGAGGAAAGGAAGGAAAAACATGTTTATCTCAAATTGATGCTACCACCCATCAAGGTTCTCTTTTGTAACCAAGCCAGCAGTTGTGTCCCCTAACTTTCTCGTTTAAGGGACACAACTAGCAACTGGCGTGACAGATACAGAAACTGGTTCAGGAGCATGATGAAACACACTCTCAGTTTCTTCTTCAACAGTAAAAGCAACAGCAGATCTGGGAGAGGGTTAATACATCCCACATTGCCTTCTAATTTTTTGGTAGTTGCCTGAGATGGTGACAATAATTGGTGATGGCAGATTCACATGTTGAAAGAATCACAAGACAGATTGCAAGCTTATGAAGTTGGAAGCCTATGAGTGGGAACAAACCATTAGAATTGGATATGCACTTTCCACAACACACTGGTTCATTAAATATATGCAGATTTTCCTATTTCCTTGAGTTTTTTCTCTACAAAATAAGCAAGGGGTGGAAGGAAGATCACATGGGTCAAACATGTGTGCATAAGGATGTGCAGTCATTTATCTGTTTACATTTATTCCATTGACTTTTTATGACCTCTTCTTTTCCCATTTGTATGAACATGACTCTTACCATTTGATGATAGAAAGATGAATGTATGAAATGGTACCACTGAAAAACACTGCATTTCAGGTGATACAAAGCAGTATTTATACAGGTTTAGAGCCTTCTTGAAGCATACAGGCATGAGTCTAAAACTTTAAGTCTCTTTGAGGTGAAGCGGGATACATTTCAAACAGAAGATATGGCTTATATGGATGGAATAATCCTCCATAGAAAACTGGTATGTCAAGAGGACTCCCTACATACCTCATGCATTTGGGATCCATTTGCTATCTTTAGTAGGTACAACTTTCTGGTGCCTGTTTTAAATTACTTATTCATTGATTTGTCTTACCTGAAGAAAGTTTTTATTCTACTTTTCTTCATTATTCCTCCCCCCCCAACATAACATTTATGATAAAACCATAAAATATACATAATATGAGCACAATGAAATTAGTAACAACTGATGGCCAGCTAACAATTAATATAATAACAGCACAGTAACAGCAATAAACATAGAGCAGCAGTATATATGGGGGGTGGAACTAATCTCTAGTATGAACAGATGGGAAGATTGAGTACCTTCCTTACAATGCTGTGTTCTACCATGGTTATAAGTAGCTTTGTAGGGAAGGTTCTCCAGACTCAAAGATGCACCAGTGTAGTAATAGCTCAACGGCCCTTCTGCCAGCACAACCCTTTCGTGCTGGCTGATCTGACATCTGCTAGCTCAAGTGAATCTGCCCGCACAATAGACACATTGGCTGAGACCAGCTGGAGAAGCCCTTTTGTCCTAGACTCACAGCTACTATGCTGGCACAAGGTTAGGATAGATACAGGGCAGTGCTGAATAACTGTCAGTAGCCATAAGCTGGGAGCAATTTGGATTCAGCAGAGTTTAGCTGACTTAGGGTCAACTTGGCAAGGCTTCAGCCATTGTGGATACCTAGGATTGCATGGCGTGTTATGCATTCCACATATGAAAAATTTCAGCATGGTCTTTGAAAGCAAAAGAAAATCTGAAATGAAATCCTTTCTTGTTTGTACTGACCACATTCAAAATACCATGGAGAATACTGTACCTTTTTTGTATTTGTCTGCAAGATGGGCCTGACCTCTGAGACATTTTTCAGAAAAAAAGTATATTCACCACAAAGTCAATACTAATATGGCTGAACACGTAGGGATTCAAGCCCCTGACAAGTACAAGGTATGCAATCAGATCCCTGGACTTGAACAGACAGATCTGAGAATTTTGTTTTTTTCCCCTCACATTCTGTTTAAAAAAAAGATATCTCGATGAATTTAAGGTGTGTGTGTGTGTTGTGGGGAGCAGGGATTGTACTGAAGTATCTTGGAAATTTCATGGCAGGAAATTAACTTCTCCAGCCATGACCAGTTCTGTATCCCTAGAGTGGTAATGGACACAGTCCTGAGGCACATGAATCACAAAGCTAGGGTAATACCGCCTTGAAAATCATATATCCTTGTGTATAATCGATCAAAGAGGAGACAAAGGCAGTTCAAGAATGGCTTTCTTCTATTCTCTCCCCCCCCCGGGTCACGGTCTTACCCCGAGGTCTGCAAAAGGCCCATCTAGCAAAGCCAGCTGAGCCACCCGGCATCTGTCCCTGTTCGCAAGTGTCTGTGGTGTGCTGTAGCCTCCCCTCAGCGCATTCTCCTCAGCAATCAGTGACTCCAGCTCCGGTGTGGCTCCTCCGGTTACCAAAGTACGGATCAGTGTGAGAATATTGTCATTGAAGTATGTCTGCAGAGATAAAAGAAAGCTCTTTAAGCAAACACCATTAAAGTCAGAAGTGAAGACATCCAAATTACAACTTTTCTGGGTTTCTGCTGTTTAAAGTTCTTTGCTGTCTCTTCAAATAATTTCCCATTGGAAGTGAAAAGACAGCAGCCCCCAATTACTCTATTTTCTTCTGTCCCATTAGGCTTCCACTCGATCCATCCTCCCCTCGCGCGCTTCCCCCGCCTTCCCCTCCACAAACCCCCAACTCAGGGCTGATTTTTATTAAAGAACAAAAATGTAAATCATTCATGTTTCCTATAATTGGTGTTAGTGGTGAAGCAATGACTGCCTTCCTTCTCATTGCCTTCATGTCTAATAACAGCCTTTAGGACATGTAATTGTAAAATCCAGACCACATTTAAAGCTTACAGTGGCTAGATTGCCTTTTTATACTTGTCACCAATCCATTGGGGAGCCGCCTCTGTGCTTCGGATGTCATTACTTATTACTGTGGCTGGACTCGAGCAGTCTTCCCGATGTACTGTACTAAACATCTTATTACGAGACTTGACAGTGTTCAGACACAAGCATGTATCAATTAAACATTCTGAGTTCATTCCAGATAAATGTATGATGAGTTTAGGGTCCTACTGGTCCTTTTAAAAAACTCTAGGGTATAGGGTAAGTGTAGTTTATTAGGGACGATTTACTCCACAGTGACATTTTGCCAGCATCAGTAGCTGCACTGGTCTGTCAGGCAAACAATGGACATTTTAAATATTAATTGGATGCCAACGGAAGGAAGCTAATTTTAAAAGTATTACAGTGGTCTGGCTGAAAGACGCTCCAGTAAGTAGCCACAATTTATGACCCACTGAGTAACATAATAATACTAATACTACGGATATATGGGATCCTAAAGATACCTAATGATACCCACCCACCCACAAAGATGTTCTCTACTTTTCCTTCATGGTGACTGCTTTCCACCCTTGATAAATTTTGTTACCACTGGAAACACTTTTGCTTTCTACAGGTTTATCAGATAGAAAGGATCCTGCAGATTTCTTTAGTAGGCAACGTTTTGTTGGCAATTCTAATCTGCTTTCATTGGAGAAACCTTATGGATGTGCCATCACAGAAGACCAGCGACTGACTGGCAATCAGATCTCAAATTATTTGAAGCATTGCATGCAGTTGCCAGTATTATTATGGGCTGCAGTGATGTGACAGATAAGGATCAGTGTGTCCTCAGTGTGTATACAGTTCTGCTGACTTAAACTGAGCTGCCACTTTGGTACCTACACCATTTGACTTCAACTGATACGTTGGCATACACGGCCATATGCAGATGCAGGGTGGGTCCTACAGGCGATGTTGCCATCATTTGCTTTCCTTTATGTGAGAGATGGAAGGAAAAAGACCTGGTCTACCCAGGCAGGAAAATGAGGTGACAACCTCATATGTTCAGAACAGAATACACAATTTTGGCATTACTGGTGAGTGATAACATTTTTCATAGTTCCTCATAGGAAAACATTGAAACAGTGTGACACCCACCCATCTAGCCACCCCATGTCTAAAGTGGAATATTACATCTGCTACATTGTGCCTCTACTGCCTTATTCCTTCTATTGTTGCATATGTAGATTGGGCCTAAGCAACCAGGAGGAGGAGGGATCTGATGTAACAAGAATAAGGCTACTTCTACTTGTATACTAACTAGATGGCACTTCAGCGGACGTAACCTTTTTCAACTCTGCATGAAAAATGCTACCAGCCCACATATCCTATAGAACTACAGTGGTGTCTCGCAAGACAATTGCCTTGCAGGACAATTAATCCACAAGATGATTGGTTTTTGTGCTTCACAAGATGATGTTTTCTATGGACGTTTTCGCAAGACGACAATTTTTCCCCATTGGAATGCATTAAATAGATTTCAATGCATTCCAATGGGGAACCGCATTTCACAAGACGATGTTTCCTATGGACGATTTTCGCAAGACGATTTTTCCCCCATTGGAACACATTAATTAGATTTCAATGCATTCCAATGGGAAACCACATTTCACAAGACAATGTTTCCTATGGACGATTTTCGCAAGACAATTTTCCCCCCATTGGAACACATTAATTAGATTTCAATGCATTCCAATGGGAAACCGCATTTCGCAAGACGATGTTTTCACAAGATGATGTTTTTCGCGGAATGAATTAATATCATCTTGTGAGGCACCACCGTAATCACGGGAACCAACAAAAAGGAGAAAGCTGGAAGTTACAGTGTGGTTGTTTTTTAAAAAATGGGTCCCACCTTGTAAATTGGGGATGAAGGTAGGTTCTTAAGAAAGCACAACCCTGACTACTGTTTTGACTCCTAAGGTTTGTTAATAAAACTAGAAGAAAGAAGAGCAGAATGTTTTTTGTCTCTAGGGCTTAATATGGAAGATACGTAGAATTCTGCTACAGGTACATGTCGCTCCGAACACACTGACGGCCACCCAATCCTTAACAAAGCAGGAGCCTTGACTTTCTTTGCCCTTCTGGTCATACCAAAGCACCTGCGTCCACTCACAACCCTTGTATCTGATTTGCCTTTCAACAGGAAAGGATTACAGCTGGCATGAGAGAGATATCCCTGGTTTCCAAAATGTGATGCTTCCAGAGCTACATTGAATCTTTTTAACCCCTAAAGTCCATAAGACGCACCTCTCCATAAGACACACCAAATTTTTAGGAGAGGAAAACAGGGAAAAATAATCTGTTTTCTTCGTTCCATAAGACACACAGACTTTCCACCCCCCTGTTTTGTGGAAAAAAGTGCGTCTTATAGTGCAAAAAATACGATACTTCTTACAAAGAAACATTTGGGCAAAAGTAGCTTGTGAAACTAGGGCAGAGGTTGGAATCCTTTATTTCTTTTCTTAAAAAATAAATAATTTGTTAATGTTACTTGTTATTTGAAGAGTAACACATTAGAAACATAATGCACTTTTTAGCTATGTTTTGTATTTTAAATTATGTTTATTTTTTAAAGGACATTTAAACATACATTTAAAAATGCAAGATCGCTTCCACAATGCCCCCACAATGTTTCAGAAGTAATGATACTGCTTACACTACGCAAGTATGTCATTTCAAGTTGTAGGGCCCTTCTAATCCCCAAAAGTTATTTGTTCAGGTAGCAAGCCAGCTTGTAATGCGTTCTCCCCAATCTCTGAACTGCGGTGAAAAATGTTATACTTGCTTAAATTTCTTGTACACAGCTATTAATCTTTCAGCGTGAGTTAGGTATCAGGGTGTGGAGCCAGAGGCTGGGAGTTCAATTCCCCTCCCTCAGGTGCCTCCCAGAAGAGCCAGCCTGGGTGGCCTTGGGCAAGCTGCACAGTCCAAGGGTGACCCCAGAAGGAGGGAAGGGCAAACAACTTCTGAGTACTATGTACCAATAAGATCCTGAAACGGGCCATAATATGTCAGAATTGACTTGATGGCACACAGTCATTATTACACAAGCACACACTTTGTTGCATCAACCCATCCTCTTGTTTGCTGCTGCAATGCAACTACATTTGGGAGGATGGGAATTAATATTTGGTCTTGGATTACTTACATTTATACACACAGAGAGAGGACTAAATCCTGAAATGTAAAATCTCATAGCTGCCCCAGAACCCAATATTCCAAAAACTTTTCCTGTCCACGAAGTATTTGACCTGTCGCTATAATAATAAACCTACATGCTAATACTAAGTAGAAGACTATTTTCTGATCAGTCAGGAGGCGAAGGCCAACCCGAATCTGTCACTTCCTGTCAGAAAACAATCAGAATGAATTCTGAAGAAGAGGTAAGTTTCATACAGTCCTTTTTAGGGGAAGTCAGTCAGCTGATTCTTAACAGTGATAAGGTAGCAATCACTGGTAAAGACCTTTTAATTTCCAGTTTTGACTATTAATAATCTGATCATGTGAAGCTGCCACAGCCACTTCAGCATAAAAATGTGCACTGAATGAGGGACAATAGAAATGCACAGCTATGGCTTATCCTGACCTAGGGGAAAGGCAGCTGTTTCTGAGCCCTGTATTTAAGCTTGCACTGCCACCTAGCATGCTCTTCTGAACTCCTTCATGGTTCTTTTGAAAAGCACATGTGTGGCATCTGCTTTCTTGGTACTCCACCACTATTTTTATTGTTATAATAATTACAAGATCTTACGTTTCACCATTTTAATGTCTTAAAATTAGGTTGCTGTTGTTTTTTCGGGTGTGTTTTGTTTTATTTTTTTGAAAAAAAAGGTAGCTGAAAATTAACTATTCTTTTCAATACACTTTAATGGCATTTTTGCATCATTTCTAAAATACCTACCTGTTTGCAAATAGTAACAAAGAGAAATGTTGGTAATTTTTAGGTATCAAAGGGATCTCTGCCTGTATCAGCACAATTATGAATGTTACATGCATTCACTCCACCACCCTTGTACAATGTTTGTTTTAAAGGAATGCTAAACATTCTATATTGAAGTAATTTTACTAGAACCAGTAATATCACAAGGACTAAACACGCAACAGTGCAAAATGCTTCAAAATGTATTATACTATAACTCTACCACAAAGATTCATAGGGCATTCTATATTATCATATAGTAACCAGAGAATGGTTTGTTGCTTGATAACGTTTCTCAACAGCAGGGAGTAAGATTTGGTTTTTCATTGCAGTTGTCCAGAAACATTTTTAAGAGACCTTAAAAGATTGTGTTGCTTTTGGGTGATTGGTTAATTTTAAATACATTTGCATATTTCAAAAATCTAAAAGAAGACACTTCTTTTTCAAAAACTGTAAAGCGAGAGATTGTTTCTTTTATATTTGAAAACTTATTTAATTTGATTCTTACTTTGTTCCCCACATATATTGCCTATGAAGTCTGACCTTGGCTACATTCTTCCATGTGCTTTTTGAGGCTTAGGGCCAGCCCTGCTGTTAAGCAGAGTGCAGTGGCTGCCCCAAGCAGCTGATCTTGTATATCATGAAAGGGCAGCAAAGTCTTTATTACTAGATGTATTATTTTCATTCTTTTACTGACATGAAAGGGAGAAGATGTTTCTGGGATTTTCTGATTCAGCTGCCAAAATAGCTTTACTAACCTTTGATACTATGCACATAGACTTGAGGAGATGCACATAGACACCATTTGCTGCTCCATCTTAAGCACCAAGCACCTTAGGCCAGCCTTGCCTTCTTCTCTTTCTTTTGCAAGGCTGCATTCTCTGCTGCCTGTTCTGATTCTTTACCTCAGTTAGTTTCTCGATAGTCACTTTAACCAACTACAGCTATGTGAGAATGTGTATAGAATCACAGTCTATGGACAGGAGAAGGCTTGCATTCTGAACAGGGGTCTGTAAGAGGGGAACTGTTCCCCCCAAATATTTCCCCTGACTGATGGCTAGGAGGAGCCCTATTGACACATGAATAAAACATTTGGATCCCAAACACAGCGGGGGGAGTGCACTAGCCCTGCTCACTTTGTTATTGTTTACAACATGCAAAAGTGGCAGTCTGAAAAGGGGGAGGCGGCGCTATCCATGAAGCCCTGAAAAATTTTATATTCGCAAAGGCTTGAAAACAATTGAAAACATTGTTGATGGAGCAGCCTCCCCTCTTCAGACTGGTGCTTTCACATGCTGAAAGTAAGCAACAGAAGAAGCAGGAAAGGTCTGCTCCCCTCATGGCATGTTGGCTCCAAATGTTTTCAAACCTAAGCATAGTGTTGTGCACCAACACCTTTCTCCCACATTGCAATATTTCTCCCATTATTGTGAGTCAGGAGTAGGAACAGGCAGGGTGCCCGGCATGTTGGGCTTTACAAAGAGCAGATACAAGACACCTCTATCTTAAATTGACCTAAAAATGTGGAAAACTTACAGAAGGCAACAGAGGAAGGAAAAATATGGGGGTATGGGAAAGCAGGAAAAGAACATTTGGTTTTGGTTTCATTTCATCCACATCTATTTGGCTTCCTTGCTTTATTTATTTCACATTTTATCCCAGACTTCCTTCTGTGGCTGTGCACACGTAAAATCCCTGGGTAAGTGAAAATGTTTTGTGTTTAAGGAATAGCAGTGCGGATGCCAGTTGCACTTACACAGGGAAAACCAAAGAGGACCTCTCCTTTGTTGACATGTAATGTACCTGCAGTATTTGGAGAACAGCCTCCTTTGGGACTAAGTTATCAAAGGCTGCAGGAAATAGAGGGATAATGCAAACCTTTCATGGGAGAAAAGTTAGCTATGTGGAAGGACTTCCAGGACATAATGGTTGCATGAAGACCTTGGATGGCTAAGGGTGGGTCATAAGAAGGGATGTGTTATGATGGTCATTCAGAGCAATAAGAAGGGGCAAAGTCAGGAAGGGCTTTGAAGGTAAGGACAGGAAGCTTGCAGAGTGTGTGGAAGCAGACAGGAAGACAGTGAAAGTACATAAGGAGTGGAACCAGCAGTCAGAAAGATGAAGATGAGCAGAAGCATACTGTATGGATGAGAATAAATGGAGATGAGACAAGAGGAAATCAGAGAAGCCTGAAATAATTAGGTCAAAGGACAGCTGGGGCATGGACAAGAGCTTCTATTGAAGGGACAGAAAGGCAATCCTGCAGGCTGCTATGCATGACAGTCTTTGTTCCCTGCCCAGGTTATATGTATTAACACTGAGATGAGAGATTGTAGGGTGCCAGGTGATGCTGAGTTACCAGTGCAGGACAAATAGCATCTGCTCAGTATACAGACTTTGGTATTTGCAGTCATGCAAATAGCCATGCGCTAAGGGAGAGGAATTTAGTTGAATGGCATAAAGATCCATGCCTTGCCTTTCTCCAAAAGTATTGCTTGTTTGTCCACTCTGGAAATCATTAGGAAGGGTTTTAGAAAAAAATCACAGGTGGAGGATTATGTTACAACAATGGCCTAAATCCATTTGTTAATCCCAAATGGAAAGGAAACAAGTGATGACTTACTAACTCAAGATGTATGCAGGTTTCGTTGATTCAACACGTCTGCTCTAACGAGGACTAACCATTGGATTTAGGCCCAAAGGTTCTGTGGTACCTTAAAAGTGGATGTGTTTTGTCCATGAAAGCTTATGCCCAATAAAACATTAGGACTAACCATTGGATTTAGGCCAAAAGGTTCTGTGGTACCTAAAAGTGGATGTGTTTTGTCCACGAAAGCTTATGCCCAATAAAACATATGAATCTTTCTTGTTTATGCTACCATTGACTAACAGCTATGTCCCCCATCCTGGAGAAATTACTAATGATTACATTCTCATCCTCCTCATAGTTCTGACTCCACATCACCTGCTTGAGTTAAGGAGGATGCTCCTAAGGAAGAGGACATAGAGACAGAGTAGGACATAGAGACAGAGTATGTCTATGTCCTAAGGAAGAGGACATAGAGACAGAGTAAGAAAATCACACATAGGACACTGCATAGTTAAGGGTGAGAAGAAAGGTCTCCTTCAAAGTTGCTGATTAGAGGGCTGTGGAGCTATGATTGAAACTGCAGCTTTCCTTCTTCTGTACAAATAGGAAATTCAAAAATATGGGTGCTTACTGCGCTCATTAAGGAATCCAGCACGCTGACCGCAAATGCAGTTCCACATGCAAAAGGCTGTGTGAGATACAGTTCTGTATCAGGATCATCATCATCATCTTGGTCCAGAAACTGAACATTTGAATCATTCACTAAAAAAAAGAAACAAAATAACACACAATTAAAAATACTGAACTCATTGCCAAAATGCCATATAAGATGATCTCTGTATGGTTTGCACAAAGAAGAAGAAAGTTTGTGGTGTGTGTCCAGAAGCAGAGGCATGTCCTGGAATGCTTCAGTGTTACTGAGCATGAAATTCAAACCCATGTGAAATGTATCTTTTGTGGGTGGGAGACAGTAGTCATTATGAAAGCTGAATATTCGTGAAGCTACAGAACAACCTTCCCAACTGGGGAATTTATCGGTACCAACTGGAACGTAGTCATTATCCCAAGCACCTTGTTGGGGGCAGGGGAATGACTACAGGTTTCTCTTGCATCTTAGAGATCTTGCAAAATACTCAGCTCAAAGGCAAACAAAGGTCTGACTTCCTGTAATTATCCTGGTGTGATGCATTGGAGGAACTCAATATGAAATTAAATGTCACCTCTAGAAGCAGAAGCAGTGCAACAAATGTGGAAACAAAAGGGCAGTTAAAGGAAAGGAGGTGTTGCTTTAAATCCTATTCTCTGTTCCTAATGACAGCAAGTTCCTGGTTGGATGGGATTCTCCTCCACAACAGACAGCATAGCCAATAGTCCTGACAAATAATGGCTACACAGCATGTCTTCTAGGTAGCAGATACTTTATTATGAGCGCCTCTTTACAATGGGAAAATTTTGGCAACCTTCTGATACTGAGTACGGATGGAAGAATCTCCAGAGTCAAGTTTATGGAGTTTCTACAATGTCCACCTCAAAGCTCATTGTAGTTCAGGTCGGATTTCTTTTCCTTATGGAGATACGTGTATATTTTAAAAATTCGGACACAGTTTGTCATATTGACTTTAACAGGTTTGTGTGCATTTCTGAATTATTTATACTTTTCTATTTATTTATTTATTTTATTTATTTATGTATTCCATTTATACCCCGCCTATCTGTTCATCGCGAACACTCTTACAACCTTCTATGCACTGTTTTTGAAAAAGCATGCATTTTCCAGAAGCATTTTTGGCTGAATCACATGGCAACTTGGTAAGAGTAGCTTTCCAACTCCAAATTGTGCTTATGGTCAATGTTGGGACTGTAAACTGGGTAATCATTTAACTTTGTACTATTAAGTCAATCCTGACTTATGGATATCCTCATAGGATTTCTAGGTATAAATTTGGAATTACTTTACCAGCCCCTCCTTTTGGTGGCACTCTGGGACTGTGTCGCTTGCCCAAGGACACACAAGCAGCAGGACACATAAATCCATCAACCACACATGTTCCAGGTGACAGTAGTTGGCCCTTCTCCTGAGGGGCACAGTGGTGAACCTTAATTCCCAGTCTCTGGCTCTACAACCAACTAAGCCATACCTTCTCAAACTGAGGAACCCTATACCAATATGCAAATTCAACAATCATCTCAGCCTACTTTAATTTAGACTGGTCCTGTCTGTTCCTGCAGCTGTATTCCAATAGCAGCATGAGCAAAGGGCACTCTTTCAGCTGCTAGATGGCAACTTCTAGCATCCCTCACTGTGGGGTATGGAGGATGCAGTTGCAATCCAGCAATAGCTGGTATGCTCCACTTAATCTACCCCTGTGTTGCAGCCTGCAGTCAGAAATGGACATGTTTCCCTGTTGCCCTATAAAATAAAATCTGTCCTTCAAAAAAGGAAACTTACAATAGAGGAAAGTGTTCAAATTCAGCCTTCTCAGCAGCATTTCTGTGTATAAAATTCTCCTCTTCCAGAGGAGCATTCCATCATCTGAGCTTTGTCTACACTGTGAAATAGTACAGCCACTTGCCTGGAAATACCAAATGTTTGGAAGAAGATTTAGAACTATACCTCTTAGTTCTAATCCAGATATTGCTCCCAATGTACATATGGTCAGCATGACACCTGAAAGAGTGTCTTCTGGCTCTATACTTACAGGTGCTCTAGCACCAGTCTACCAGGATCAATAGTCACGTGGGCTACCCAGAATCACACACCTACATGCAAGCAGGCCATGCTCAATGAGTATACCAGCAAATGCAGTCCAAGGCATGACTTTTTAACATACAGAATGCATAGCTCTTTTCTCCTTTAACCACCAGCTACTGGCGCATAACTGTGTATGTGAGAGAAAAACAGATCAGGATTGAGGCATGGACAGAAGAGGGCTTTAACATTTGCTTCCAACATCCCTTCCATAATCCGTAACCTTCTACTGGGGGCAGAAGAGGGATTCTAGTGAAGCTTATATCTTGGGTACATAGTTCATCTGGATCCTGATTCACCTCTTCCAATGCAAGCTATTGATTAAAAAATACCAGATGCAAGTGCCAAACCATGTGGCAACACTGTATATCATCTTTATATCCCTACAGGGCTTCTGTCTCAAACAAAACCAGTTTGTATCAATTAACCCACATTTGGAAGGACTGTGTTATGATTTTGGTGTCCCTAAAATTATTTTTCACTTTGCAGAGCACTGAGCACAAGGAGGCATCTGACTCATCACCCATGCAAGGATCCCAATGCAGATCCCCTGCATTATGGAACTATACAACAATGTACTTGTGCTGAATAGGTAATGAAATTTGGCTTTTGGTCCTTCCAGTGTGGATGTGTGTTTGGATTCTAGCAAATGATTGATGGTGGTAGCTTTGAAGTTCTTGATCACACTTTTTCCGGCTACTATGATTTCAGGCAATACTATTGTACTAATGTACAGCTTTTGTTTTCTGTACAATAATAAGCACTGGGAAGATGGTAAAGAGAGGGTGCATAAAGAAAGAAGCATTATGTTTGACTACATGAACTGGCCTGCAGCTAGAAGCTATGGGCAGAACTGAGGTTTAAAGTACATGGTGTGTTAAAGTACATGCTTTGTAACATACAACTGAGCCTCCCTTTCTTCTTTTTCTTATGGGATATAGAGATCTTCAACACAAGGGGAGGGGGCTCCACTCATGATACTGGAAGCTATTATTCCATTATTTCAACCCCTACACCTGAAAAGCACAAATTAAGCTGGTAGGTCAGACTAGTGTGATCAGAGATTTAGTGATGTTGCATGTGGGGAAGGGGGAAGAGTGGTTCGCTATCATTCTGATTGCTATCAGAAAGGCTGTACATTTACTTATGAGTAAAGAAGAAGGTACATCAGCTGTCATCACATAGCACATTACCTATCCCTCTAATTAAACTTAGACTCCCTAAAACCATCTACTTTGCTGCAGCTAGTTTAGAATAATGCTTCTTGTAGCCAATGAATATAAAAAGTAAATCTATACTAATAACACTGTCTTGCTTAATAGTCTCTCCCCCCTCCATCTGTTTGTTTGTTTGCTTGTTTATTTATTTATTTATTTATTGGGAAGCAGCCACTGTTTGAAAGAAGGCATTTCACCTTAAGAATGTACCTCTGGGAATGACAGGACTTCTTCTCAAGTGATAAATTAAACCAAGGCACAAATCTTCAGTAATGTTTTATATTCCACTAGCAGACTTTTAAGATTAATAACTCACATGTGGCTAATACCCAACACAAAAGCTTTGCCACCTGTTACGTAAGAGCCTCGTGGCGCAGTGGTTAAAATGCTGTACTGCAGCTAAAACTGTGCTCACGACCTGGGGTTCAAATCCCAGGTAGCCGGCTCAAGGTTGACTCAGCCTTCCATCCTTCCGAGGTCGGTAAAATGAGTACCCAGCTTGCTGGGGGGGGGCAATGTGTAGCCTGTATAATTAAAAATTGTAAACCGCCCGGAGAGTGCTTGTAGCGCTATGGGGCGGTATATAAGTCCAATAAATAAATAAATAAATACATGGTGACAATTTCAGAGTCACAGCAGAATCTCATAGAAGCATTGCAAGGGTAAGTCTTAGCTCAGACCTCAATAGCTTTATCTTCATGTCTAAGTTCTCCTGCTGGGATTTGTATGAAAGGCTCCTTGGCAAAATAGAGCATGGGTGGGATTGGTTTAAGAGTTCAGAGCTTCATCACAGGATGCGTTAATCAAAAACTCACTTTTCTGAAGAAGGCTGCAAAGGAGCTTAGCTAGTTTCAGGACTTCAGAAATCTATGTGTCTGAGTGAAAACTTGGTCTCCGAACCAACCAACCAAACACAACAAGCAAAGAAGCAGCTTAAGGGTAGGTGTGATACTGGGTTGTGTTTTTTTTCCTTCAGTTTTCCTTCTTCTAAAAGGATATTCTAAAATATTGTTTATTTGTACCTTAACTCCTCTGAGAGCTGTTAAGACACATCAATCAAATTGACAGGTGTCTAGAATGAAAAGGAAAGTAAGAAAAGTGGGGGGAAAGGGTCTAGACCAAAGAAAAATGAATTGGTGTGAAGATGCTATGGAAACAGCCAGCAGGTCAGACGAGCGTGATCAAAGATTTACTGATGCTGCATGTGGAAAAAAAATCATTAAGGAAAGCCAGAACAAGACAGTCGATTTCAGCTGGAATCACAAATAAAACACATTCAAAGCAGTGCCATGAGGGTAGCCCCCTCTGATAAATAAAAGAGAAAGCTGATGAAGGAAGAAACAACAATAAAACAAAAGACAGTTGATGTGAAGGAAAAAGGCACTTCTTACCCAGTTCAGTTATCATTAGAATGTGAGTTCCACTGTTTTTTTCCTGACTGATTGAAACCAAAGGCAGAAGTTTGCCAGGCTTAGCTAATAAGTGTTTAGGAGAGGATTGGGGGTTGGGGGGGGGGAAGAAGGCACAGAAAGAGAATAAAGTAAGGGAGTAAGACAGGTAAGGTCTAAAACTAAGTGGAAAGAAAATAAAAGGACAAAAGGACTACAAATCAAGCTTGTCTTTACCACGAGAAACAGAATGGCTTTCAAGCTTCACACGGCTTGACAGCAGTCACTAGCTAATGCCACGGCAGAAATGGAGACAAGCAAACAGTCATCACCCTCTTCATGAATGCACTCCCTGTGCCATGGCAGCACAAATTAGTAATTAATTTGTTAGCACAAGGGAATAGGAGGGGATTAACAAGTTAATCCTTATCACCCATTAGGATGCAAACAGCAAGGTTTCTGGCTGCCTCTTCTCTGTAATGAGCAGCCACATGTACTTGGATATCCCAGCTCAGAATCTGCCCATAATGGGCCCTGAAGCACAGGGAGCAACTGCAAGAGTGGTCCTCTGCTAGGGGCTGCAGTCTTTTCTAACCCCACCCCTCCATGCCTTGGTGTGGGTTTGCTGGTAGTCAAAGAGAAACTGTAGTGTTAAAAGGATGAGAAAGCATGTATGCTTCCCCAGCCATATCCCAAACCCCACAGCCTGACTCACCTATGTCGCAGGTTGGCTGTCCAAATGCAGCAGAATACTCTGGCATATAACTTTGTATTACAATAATGGTCACTATGGACCTCCCTAAGCGTTATTTGCCCCTTCTTTCTTACAAGCAGTTCACGGGCTTATGGACCAAATTCCAATATGTTGATGAGAAAACCTATGTTAATACTTTGAAGAGACAGCCTCCCTTGTTATTATTATTATTTTCCTTCACAAGAATACAGTAGTTCTGAACCAGTAAGTTAAAGGAAGGGGGCTATGAAATGCATCCATTTCCTTAATCTGTGAAAGACTGAAAAGAGAATTGACACAAAAGTGAACATAAGAAGAAACATAGCCTTTAATTTTTCTTACCTAACTCTGTTATGATAGGGATATCAATTCCTGTTGTAATGGAGGGTTGACGTAGGAGGCCGTGAACTGGGCTGTTGTCTGGTGATGACCTGTCCATTCCTGGTGGTGAAAATCCTAGGAAGAAATCATATCAGCAGTTTAGAGGGCATATAAGACTACCTAAATTACAAAGGAAAGGGGGGGGGGAAGAGAGAGCAGGACAGCAAACTTATGGGAATTTCTCACTGAAAGGAAACAAAATATACTTCAAATATAGTTCTTTTACAACTAATATCTAAAATAGCAACTAGAAAAGGCATGAAACTAAACAGCAGATCTATGGGCAGTGGTCAGTCCAGATGAAACCGTTGTCTGGGAATGGATGCATTGGCAGTGTTAACCCTTTGCTCTTCACTGTGGCCCCAATCTAGATGCCAACCTGCTATTTTCATAGGAATAAAAGTTCCCACTCAGGCTAATAGGAGCTTTTCCTCCTGTGGAAACATTAGATGTGGTGGGGCAGAATACACATAATTTAGACGAAAATTAAAGCAAAGGAAAGGGTTAATATCTCCAGGTCAAGACTGTGTCCTTTGCACCTCTAATTTATTTCACCTGATTGCTAACTGTATGAAAGGAATATCATCCAATCTAGTACTGAGAATTATTAGGAGTAAGAAGGCAGCATGGATTTTTCCTGATCACCAAATGATGGATCAGAAATTATACCTGCTAAATTGGAATGCAAATGAATGCTTAGCAGTTACTTAAGTGGCAAATGCTATGGGGATTAAGTCATAAAACAGAAGATCATCTCAACATGTGTTCCCAGTGTTTAATTGATGCTCAGCTGAGGCAAAACTTGTGAATTGGTGGGTTATTCTTCTCTCCTGTTTTATTAAGCTGTCTTCCTTCAGTTTGGGACTCATTAGATACCAGTGTCTCTTCAGCACGAAGTCCTTTCTGCAAGTTTCTGCTGGTGTGCCATCTGCAACTCTCACCAGAGTTATGCATGTGGTGGGAAGGCATAGTAATGTTTAACATGGAGCTATCTATGGAGAAAGACTGGGAATTCTGGTTCGTTCAAAACACAACTGCTAGACTGCTTGCAGGACCCAGATTTCAGAGCACACCTCATCAGTCCCGAAATGGCTACACTTGTTTCTTGTTCATTTCTGGACAAAATTCAAAGTGCTTGATTTAAAAAAAAATAAAAATAAACAGACACACACACACACACCTGTCTGTCTTCATTTAGGAAAGCTTATCAATAACATTTCAAAACTACATTCTACATGCTATATTCACAAATCCCTATGCATATCAAGAGGATTAGATAATAACCATGGGTTCTTGTCACACTAAATATAAGAATAAACTGCTTTTACATACAGTCTTGGGTGTACCTATAGCCCCCCCAAACCCAAAGACTCAACCCAGATCAACTTTTCCTTGACATAACCCCAATATCAGATAACTTTTTGAAAAAAATATGTATATACACTTTAAAAGACAGCAGACTACCATTGGTATGTACTAACAAACAAGCTGATTGCTCTACTGGTTTACAAGATGTCAGTACTTTGCATGTTTATGACTAAAATTAATAATGCCATTGCTGCTTTGAAAGGTGATTATCAATGTAATTGTTACCCTCTTCTTTCAACCTCACTTAGTCTCCACTCCATTAGCAGGTGGTCTGCGCATATGAATTTGCTGGCCTAACTATTATGCTTCATATGGCTGGAGAAATAGAATGAAACCCATGAAAAGCCACACTTAAGTAAAACTTTTCAGGCAAAACCCAAAGGAAAATAAAATAAAAAATTTAAAAAGACAAGAACCTGTGGCACCGTAAAGACTAACTATTGTATTTTAATGTGACCTTTCATGGACAGCCCCACTTCTTTGGACATATTGGCTGAAACTGTGTGTCTCTGAGGCACCACAGTATTTTTGTTTTGAGATTTATTTATTTTTTTGTGTGTTTTTTTTACACAGTACATGTGGAAACAGATTTATATGGCTACCTCACTGAAAACCACCGCACTTCTTTGGACATGTCGGGTGAAACTGTGTGTCTTTGAGGTACCACAGTATTTTTGTTATGGGATTTATTTATTTTTTTGTTTTTTTACACAGTACATGTGTAAAAAGTGGCTCAGTGAGGTAGCCATAAAAAAGATTTATATGGCTACCTCACTGAAAACCATTAAGAACTTTAGAACTGTTGCTCAGTTGTTTTACAGAAAAATCTTGTCTCACAAAGGGTCTGTGGTTGCACTCATCAATCACGACTGTTCTCCAAAATGCCTTGTGAAACATGTAACTAACTCTGTAATTGTCATATTACAGGGCTAGTCCAGAGACCTTAAAAAGCTTACTGTTTTGGATTCCAACATACAGAAATCTCCAACAAACTTTGTCAGCTCTTTTCTAGACATGATTTCCATTAGTGAGCACAGGAAAGTGGCAGTATGCTTCTAATGTGTATTTCTGAGTAGGTGTTTCTGAGTCTCCTTTGTATAGGAGATAAAACTATGCCAAGCTATTGATGGTTAAAGCCTTTTATAACTCGAGAGCATCGTAACTGGACGATCACCTCCCTCCACACAGTCCTATCCTGATTGTAACATCTCCTTCTTAGTTCTTCTCTGTGTGCCCCTGCCAAGTAAGATGCAAAGAAGAGTCAAGGCATGCATGGCCTTTCCAACCTGATGGCACTCTACTGCACAATGACAACAGGACCAGCCCTACCATAATCCCTAATGAGGTGGTCACCTTACAAAGCAGAGTGCTGGCAGGTTGTGTCTCTGTGGGGCAAGCACACTACTGGTATTCACTTACTGCTGCTAGAGCCAGAGAGCCTTTGCTTTGCCGTCTTGTCTCCAGAGTGTTGCTGCTTGTGCCAAGGCACTGTGGAAGGAGTGACCAATAAAATAAAAATAAAATAGTGAAAATTTAAAAAAAATGGCCTGGTGGGCAGCACAGCATTACATGTGTTACTCCCATAGCTTGAAGCAGGAGGAAAAGTGCTCGCCCCCATATCACCACCCCTCACCAATCTATGATTTACACTGTGTTTATTATTTTGATTATAAGGCCCCCAGAGTATTTCTGATTATTGGAGCAATCAGTATATTTTGTAAGGATTTAAAGCAAATTCAGATAAAGTTGGCTATGTCATGTCATGCTATGCCGTATTATTTAGAAACATATTTTCAGATTAAATTATTTCCCAATATGATTGATAATAGTAACACAACATAAGTTCATAATAAGATCACATAGGAGTCCCAAAAGAAGAACCTGTAAATCAAATATCAGCTAAAATGGCGAGACAAAAATAAGAGCAGTAAATAGAAACAAAATTAAAGTATCAAAAGCAAACAAATCAATTTAGAGTACCACAAGTTGATAAGAACAAAAATGTATGTATTGCCTATCCAAAAGGCAGCAAGGAAAGGTTTAAACTTATTTCTTTGGAGAGGAGATTCCAAGAATAATAAGTCTCACCAACGACCAGAAAAGTGAGCATCAGATGCCAATCTTAATGCTGAGGCAGCTGTTTTTAACTTGTTCTCTTCATATAGTCAGATCCAATGGCATTTAGATTCTTTGGTTGTTTAGATTCTTTATTTGCATCTTAACTTGTTTAGTTTCTTTATTTACACCTTAACTTCAGGTTGGAAACAAATAAGAAGCCAAGGCCACTGACACAGAATATGCCCAAAGGGATCAAAACTCCTAAATCCTGCAAGTACAATCATTGCTACATTTTACACTAGCTGATGTCACCGAGACCCGTGTAGAAAGAAAGCATTATGGTTGTCCAGCCTGGAACTAGCCAATGCTTATCCACACTATGTACAGATCTGCTTCCTCCAGCTAAGGCTGCAATTGACAATGTAGCTGAAGCCATTTAAAAACACTCCTAGTTGCAGATGATGCCTCTATCAAGCAAGAACTGCTTCCAGACTGTGTCGTTGCCCCTTCAAAGGGAGTGCCATCCTGTCTGAAACCAATTGTGCATCAACATCTAAATGAGCAGATTTCCCCACCCATCCACAATACTACTGTGTTGTTTGGATGAAGCTGCGCCCACCGTAATTTTATTATCTGGATTGATGTTCCATTTGTATGTCCCCATCTATTCACAATTACCCAATACAGTATCTGTTTGGGATTTTCAGTCTCTTTGAGATTAGAAGATTTCTATACTGATGGCAGTTCAGCTACAATAATTTCACACAGTGCTTTCTTACAGATGTTAAAATGCACCAAGGAAACATCAGGCACCAGAAAGACCAATAAAACCCAAAGCCAGTGGAATCTGGAATTATTACAGGGCATCTGGAATTATTAGGGCAGAAGTACCTCAGCATCAGTTTTGGACCATTTCTCACAAGAAGGACTGGGCCGAGTTCAACACAATGCTCTCAAGTCCCAAGCATTAGAGAAAGGATACCATGCTTATTGGTATGGAGGTACACTTTGCCTGTTCATTCCTTTGCATATTAAATAAGAAGTCTCCTCCAGGGTGTTCTGAAGTTGACAAGACCTAACTCACCCCAGCCCTCTTCTGAGAAACAGCAGAGTGGAAACTTGGAATAGTTACCTAAGCAACAGGACCAAAATGTAGCTTTTTCAAAAGCTGTTTTATCATTGCCTATTTAAAAGGTGCTTACCAAAGCTGATACCAATCAAGACAGACCAACTCTGGCCATTTATAAAAGCTGTGGTGAACCAAGATCCGAAAAGCAGGTAGCTGATCTATTCAGTAACGCAATATATGGCTGCAGTATATATTTGTGTGGGTTCCTCCTACTGATTGTACATGCTCAGGCCCTCTATAGCATTCATGGAAGGAAAGCTGGCATTGTTGTCTGTAAATCACTTTTTTAAAGGATCAGCATCATCACCATCATCATTACTGGTAGTAGCTGTAGTATCCTAGAAATGTGAAATGGCAAAAAGAACCGCCACTCTTGCTCCAGACTCCAGGAACATCCTCCTTTCACCATGCTTTCTACCATGTCATAAATTTTAGATGCAGTCTATTTTCTTCCTTCAGGGAAAAAAAAGCGACGGAAACCTAAACTGTTTTATCACAACTTTCATTTGAAATTATGAAA